TCTTCACTCCTAAAAGATGGTATACCTCCCTGGCCAGCGCATGAAATTACCGCCTCCCTTTCTTCGTCGACATTTAAAAGTTCCTCAAAATATTCTCGCCATCTACTCAAAACCTCCATCTCTCCATCTACTAACTCCCCTACTCTGTTTTTAACTGAAAAATCCATTCGTTCCCTAGGCTTTCTCAACTTGTTTAACTCACTCCAAATTTTTTTCTTATTTTCATTAAAATTTCTTGACAGTGCCTCTCCCACACTATCATCTGCTCTCCTTTTGCACTCTCACCACTCTTCACCTTTCTTTTACTCTCCATATACTCTACTTTTCTTATAATACTTCTGCTTTGTAAAAACCTCTCGTAAGTTAATTTTTTCTTTTATCACACCCTTTACTTCATCATTCCACCAATCACTCCTCTTTCCTCCTGCACCCACCCTCCTATAACCACAAACTTCTGCCCCACATTCTAATACTGCATTTTTAAAACGATTCCAACCCTCTTCAACCCCCCCCCACTGCTCATACTTGCACCAGCCCACCTTTCTGCCAATAGTTGCTTATATCTCACCCTAAGTTCCTCCTCCCTTAGTTTATACACTTTCACCTCCCTCTTACTTTTTGTTGCCATTTTCCTTTTTTCCCATCTACCTCTTACTCTAACTGTAGCTACAACTAAACAATGATCCGATATATCAGTTGCCCCTCTATAAACGTGTACATCCTGGAGCCTACCAATCAACCTTTTATCCACCACTATATAATCTAACAAACTACTTTCATTACGTGCTATATCATACCTTGTACATAGCTTACTAAAAAGAAAAAGAAGAAAACCGCCAAAGTCAGATGTTTGAATGTGCATGGATGTTGTGCGAATGATAAGAAAGAGATGATTGAGGATGTTATGAATGAGAAGAAGCTGAATGTCCTGGCTTTAACCCTTAAACTTTCCAAACGTAGATCTACGTTTGCTTGCGTAGCACTCCGAATGTGGATCTACTTTTTTTTTTTTTACATCCTTTCTTATGGAGAAAATCAAGGGCGGAGTGCTACATGCACAACCGTCGATCCATGTTTGGACACTTAAAGGGTTAAGTGAAACAACGCTGAAGGGGGTGAGAGTGTTTCAGTAGGGAGAAATAAATGGAATTAGGTCAGAGGTTTCAAATTGAGTTAGAGCTAAAGGAGTAGCAATAATGTTGAATCATAGGTTAGGTTGGAAAAGAAGGAATATAAATGTATAAATTCAAAGATTATGTGGTGTAAAATAAGGGTTGGATTTGAAAAGTGGGTTTTAGTAAGTGTTTATGCACCTGGAGAAGAGAGAAGTGTAGAGGAGAGAGAAAGATTTTGAGAAATGTTGAGTGAGTGCATGGGGAGTTTTGAATCAAGTGAGAGAGTACTTGTGGTTCGGGATCTCAATGCTAAAGTGGACAAAAACGTTGTGGAGGGACTAGTAGGAAAATTTAGGGTGCCAAGGGTAAATGAAAATGGGGAACCTTTAATTGAGCTCTGTGTAGAAAGAGGTTTGGTAATAGGTAATAAATATTTTATGAAAAAGAGGATAAATAAGTATACAAGGTATGATATAGCACATAATGAAAGTAGTTTGATAGATTATGCATTGTTGGATAAAAGGTTGATGGAAAGGCTTCATGACGTACATGTTTAAAGAGAGGCAACAGATATACTGGATCATTATTTAGTTGTAGCTACAGTTAGAGTAAGAGGTAGATGGGACAAAAGGAAAATGGCAACAGCAAGTAAGAGAGAGGTGAAAGTGTATAAACTAAGGGAGGAGGAAGTTAGGGTGAGATATTAGCAACTACTGGCAGAAAGGTGGGCTAATGCAAGTATGAATAGTGGGGAGGGGGAGGGGTTGAAGAGGGTTGGGATAGTTTTAAAAATGCAGTATTAGAATGTGGGGGCAGAAGTTTGTGGCTATAGGAGGGTGGGTGCAGGAGGAAAGAGTGACTGGTGAAATGATGAAGTAAAGGGTATGATAAGAGAGAAAAAGGGAGCTTATGCGAGGTTTTTACAAAGCAGACAAGTTGTAAGAAGAGCTGAGTGTATGGAGAGTAAAAGAAAGGTGAAGAGAGTGGTGCGAGTGTATAAAAGGAGAGCAGATGAAAGAATGGGAGAGGCAGTGTCAAGAAATTTTGACGAAAATAAGAAAAAATTTTGGAGTGAGATAAACACGTTAAGAAAGCATAAGTAATGAATCGATTTGTCAGTTAAAAACAAAGTAGGGGAGTTAGTAGAGGGAGAGCTGGAGGTATTGGGTAGATGGCGGGAACATTTTGAGGAACTTTTAAATGTCGATGATGAAAGGGAGGCGGTAATTTCATGCACTGGTATCTGTTAGGAGGGAAAAAGCACAGGATATGAGTGTGGGGGAGGTGCGCGAGTCATTACATAGAACGAAAGGGGTTAAAGCAGCTGGAACTGACTGGAGCATGACAGAAATGTTAAAAGCAGGGGAGATATTGTGTTGGTGATGTTGGTATTTTTTTACATGGGTGTGTAGAAGAGAGGAAGACTACTTCCCAGTAAAAGTAGGTCTTAGACAGGGATGTGTAATGTCACCATGGTTGTTTAATATATTTATAGATGGGGTTGCTGATGATACTGTGCTTATGGGCGATTCTAAAGAGAAATTGCAGAGTTTAGTGGACGAATTTGGGAGGGTGTGTAAAGGTACAAAGTTGAAGGTGAACATGGATAAGAGTAAGGTGAAGAGGGTATCAAACGATTTAGATAAAGAAAAATTAGATATCACATTGGAGAGAGGGAGTATGGAAGTAGTGAATGTTTTCAGATATTTGGGAATTGACTTGTCAGCAGATGGGTTTATGAAGGATGAGGTTAATCATAGAACTGATGAAGAAATAAAAGCAAGTGGTGCGTGGAGGTATTTGTGGGGACAAAAAATGTTATCTATGGAGGCAAAGAAGGGAATGTATGATAGTGGTACCAATACTCTTATATGGGTGTGAAGCTTGGGTTGTAAATGCTGCAGCGAGGAGGCGGTTGGAGGCAGTGGAGATGTCCTGTCTAAGGGCAATGTGTGGCGTAAATATTATGCAGAGTATTCAGAGTGTGGAAATTAGCAGGTGTGGTTAATTAAAGTATTAGTCAGAGGGCTGAAGAGGGGTTGTTGAGGTGGTATGGTCATTTAGAGAGAATGGATGAAAGAATGACTTGGAGAGCATATAAATCTGTAGAGGAAGGAAGGAAGGTGGGGTAGGAATCATCCTCGAAAAGGTTGGAGGGAGTGGGTAAAGGAAGTTTTGTGGGTGAAGGGCTTGGGCTTCCAGCAAGTGTTTGTGAGCGTATTAGATAGGAGTGAATGGAGACCAATGGTTTATGGGATATGATGAGCTGTTGGAGTGTGAGCAGGGTAATATTTAGTGAAGGGATTCAGGGAAACTGGTCATGTTTATATAGCTGGACTTGAGTACCAGAAATGGGAAGTACAATGCTTGCACTTTAAAGGAGGGGTTTGGGATATTGGCAGTTTGGAGGGGTACATTATTATATCTTTATATATGCTTTTAAACTATTGTATCTAGGTACCTCTGCAAAGACAGTGATTATGTGTGTCAGGTGAAAGTGTTGGATGATGATGAAAATATTTTCCTTTTGGAGATTTTCTTTCTGTTTGGGTCACCCTGCCTCAGTGGGAGACTGCCGACTTGTTGAAAATAAAAAAAAATCATATCCCGATTCTATTCCTTTTCGGAGCTTGCAGATTCAGGGCCCTCAGTCTATCCTCATAGGGAAGATTTCTGATACACAGGATCAAGTTTGTCATCCTCCTCTTTATGCTTCCCAGTGCATTTATATCCATTCTGTAATACGGTGACCAGAGCTGTGCAGCAAAATCTAAATGAGGCCTTTCCAAAAATAGAGAGTCAGTGAGTCAGACATATCCCTGGTTGCTCAAGATATAAAACTAACAAGAATAAAAACAGTTGATAGGAAAAGTATCCATGGGGAAGTGGAACAGAATTCTTCCTCAGCATGCCATGCATGTCGTAAAAGGCGACTAAAATGCCGGGAGCAAGGGACTAGTAACTCCTTCTCCTGTATATATTACTAAATTTAAAAAGAGAAACTTTCGTTTTTCTTTTTGGGCCACCCTGCCTCGGTGGGATACGGCTGGTTTGTTGAAAGAAAGAAAGATAGGAAAAGTCTGCGAATGGTCCTGGACAAATTGCAGGACTAGTCAAGTAAGTGGCTGCTTCAATTCAACCACAGAAAATGCAAGGTTATGAAGTTTGGGGAAGGAGCAAAAGACCTAGCGGAAAGCACAGATCCTAGAATGTCACCAGAGGCTCACACCAATCGAAAAACCTCTTATAGTCCATGCCCATCTGGCAAATCTAATAATAGCCTTCAGGAATCTCAATAAAGTTATTCCAGGCCCTTTATATAATATACATCAAGCTCATCTTAGAGTATGCAGTACCAATATGGAACCTGCACCTTAGAAAGCTTTTGAAGATAATGGAGGAAATGTGAAGGAATGCAGAGACTAGTTCCACAACAAAGCGTTACGAGTTACAAAGAAAGGCTAGTGAAACTCATTTTAACACTAGAGGACAAAAAAATCTGACAAGATATAAGTAACATCCAAAATAACCAAGACAAACTGATAGGGTAGACAGGGACAAGCTGCTTGAGAGGGAAAAAACAAGTACTCGAGAACACAACTGAAAGTTAAATACACAGATAAGCTTCAGGGTTGTCAGAAAGTATTTCTTCAGTCTCAGGATACTTGAGAAATGGAATGATGAAGAAGTGATGAAGGCAAGTTCTTCACATAGTTTTAAAAGTAGGTACAATAATGTCAATGAGACAAGTAAGGGGTGAATCTGGAGAGTGGCAAGTTGAGAGGTTAGGCCAGGAGCTAATAGTCAATCCTAGAACTAAATATGGGCAAAGACCTCATTCAAAGTTTGTCTTAACAGGGAAATTACAATCAGGGGTTAACTTACATTCTTTAAGGTTATTTTGGAGGGGAGTACCAGTAAGCACAATACGTCTACTTGTCTTGATCTGATTGATTGCCTTAGAGAGAGCAGTATTCTCATTCTTCAGTATATGACCTTCATCACAAACCATTATGTCTGGACCTGGGAATTAAAATAATCAAATATAGATATCGAACTAATTACATAAGGGTAGTCAAGGGAGTTACTAGTAACTTATCACATCAAAGAGTATCTCAATAAAATTTTGTATGATCTTTAAAGTCAAGTACCACCCTGTTTGTATATCCTTCACAGCTCCAAAATTCTCAAGCAAAACTTAATTTTACAGATACGTAAATCTCTTGTAATAAAAATTTAAAGGTACTCTTAGTTTACAAGATAGCCAAAATAGAACTTAAGTTATATAATATAGTACTATGCAAGATTAAGAAATCTAAGGCAATTCAAATGAAATACTCTGTGCATCAAAAATAAAGTTTGAATACGTGTCATATATATATACATGCATTATACAAAAAATCAAAATTCATCACACTGTCACAAAAACCTAAGTTGCATGAACTACCAGAGATCTACAGTACACAAACACAAAATAGGACCAATATAATACCAATAGCATATTGGGTACTGTATGAATCAATTTAATATATTCGTGATATACAGAACTGCAGTTAGCAGCATTTGAAACTTGTAGTAAAAAGTAGCAAGCTTTAAATACAAATACTGCAGTTTAATTAAACTAACTTTATAAATGCATAAAACAACCTGGAGCTTTACCTTATTAAAAAGTTTTCTAACTGGTAAATAATTTTGCTACCAACTTTTAAACGTAATAAATACCTACTACCTGTAAGATGAATTTACTTCTACAGCTTATAATTACCAAAAATGAGTACTCAATATTTACTATAATAATTGAACAATTAAAACTAAATATTGCAGATTATGTTTTAAGAAAAATTTTGTATTTTGGTCACAGGAAATAAAATTATATAACAACCTAAACATTCTAAGGTGCATGTTTCCATAAAATGATAACAAACCTGGATTTATTAGTGTTTTTTTGAAGATTTCTTTCATTTTGCCTTTATACCGTTTGGATTTGCAGTTGGAGAGATTTCGGAACATGTCGTAGCCCATAATACATACACCACCTTCCCTCCACCAGTCATCTAGTCGATATGCCCGACCCCATAAATCTTTTGCTCTGGTAAAATAAAAGAAAGTAAATTTAGGAAGTCTTAAATAAGTCACTTTTTTTTTTTTTTAACTTAATAGCTATCTCCCACTAAGGCAAGGTGACTGTGAGAAGAAAGTGCATTCACCAATGTTCACTCAATACCCAGGTTTCCTAATGTGTCATGACACCACAATCAGATTACCCTCCAACTGCAGAATCACTCTCTCTCCATCAGAGAGAAAACACTGCCCTTCTCACCTCCAGGAATTAGGTCCTGCAAACCAGATTCCTTGGATCCCTTCATAAAGTTACAGTGCTTGCACTCCAGCAGCATGACTATTAAAAACCACTTGTCTCTATTCACTTCTAACTAATATGATCGCACAACCTGTTGAATGCTCAAGCCTCTTTTACCTCTGCTCCCTGCAGCCATTCCTGGGATGACTCTTTTTCCTTCTACCTTCCACCTCAGATTTTTACATCCTCTTTTTCAACCAATCCCTGTCCATAATCTGTACAAGCCCAAACTACCTCAATAACCCCTCCTAAACCCTCTGAATTTCAACCTTGATAACTCCACACTGCCTTTTAATTTCTAGGGTACAAATTCTCAGCATATTCACACCACACATTACACTCAAAGATGACATCACTGCTGCCTCCAGCCTTCTTTTCACCACACCATTCAAAATCAGTACCCCACACACCCATTTAAAAGTGTTGGTATCACTATACTCTGGTACATTTGCCCCCCTACCCTTGTTTTTGTCTCCACAGATAAACTTGTGCCAATCCACACCACCCACCTTTTCCTCCCTCATCTATTCTAGGGTTCACTTCATCTTTCACTGACCCGTCTGCAGACATGTCCACTCCTAAATATATCAATACATTCACTTTCTCCATACTCTTTCCCTTTAATCTGATATTCCATCATTGCCTACATTTTCTTGTTACCCTCAACCCTTGACTCTTTTCAATGTTCACTTTTAATTCCCTTCTTTTATATATCCTCCAATATTCATTCACCAAGATTTGTGTGCACTTGCCAATAAGTGGTTCCTGGGCTAGAGTCTCAGCTCCTAGTACTACCTCTTAACTTGCCACTTGCCAGATTTACCCTCTCCTAGCCTCATGGGTTCTATCATACCTATTATAAAAACTACACATCGAATCAACCTCCACATATACACAATATTCGCATGCCTCTGGCAAGACGGTGATAGTGAATGATGGCGAGTTTTTTTTTTTCTCAACATGTTGGCCTTTTACTCAGAGAGGGAGGGTGAAAAAAAAAAAAAAAAACACTTTCACCAACATTCA